CCTCCCTCCCCCACTTTCGATTAGAGCGCAGGGAAGGCCCCTCTCCCCTTCCACCAACATGCCCCCTCGTGCGCACGCTTATATTGTCCTGCACGAGCTGATTGCACTTTGTTCTTGCGAGTTTCTTAATGGCAGCCCCTTCCTCCCCCCTGCCTAAATCTCTGCCGTGCTCGACTGCGTCTACGCATTACATTCGTCACTCATGTGCGTTTTTTTATTGCTGTTGGCAAGGATGTTGGTTACTCCAGTTCGTTCTCTAATCCACTCGCCTCTCTTCCTAGCACTAAAGCATGCCTATTATTTTCGGCTCCTCGCACGCCACGTGGTCTTTATTTTTATAGGTTCTATTTTAGTGGGTTGAACGAGCTTGGCTACTTCTTGTCTTGGCGCTTTACCTCTAACTTCCATCACTGAAGTGAAATCAACTTTATTTGGCGTCGCCGTGCCCATGCCGGTAACGGAAGACCGTAGCCCCCCGCACGTTCGCAGGCCTCCTGGACTGCTGATAAATGAACTGAGAGTTCGGGGCTCCTAAGGGCCTTCTCCCAGTCCTGTTCTGGGCCCAACTTAACGCTACGTAACGCCGGGCACTGCCAGAGCATGTGTGTGAGTGTGAAATTATCCGCCACACCACCAGGGCATCCTGGTTTTATGCATTCAGCAAAATGACTGAACGTGCTACGAGACGGGAACGAACCTGCCTGCAACATGCGGAGAGGCAACAACGGTGGGTTGGTAAGCTTGGAATCTGGGATGAGGTACCTTCACCTTGACAATTAATTGGCATTGAAAATTAACTTCATGAAAGGTGCCAAGCAGATCCCTGATGCTCTCCGCGAAATCACATCCAGACACGCCCAGACCACGGCGGGACGTGATTTCCAGCGTACAGTTATGGGCAAGTTCATTGATGTTCGAAACTGTTGAACGAACCCCCAAGTCCATGTGTGCCAAAAACCAGGCAATTGTGTGAAATCCTACAACACCCCTTGACATGAAAATAGCGGAAGCCTCCCTGGAAGTCACTCCCGAGGCAAAGGCCCGGACGGGGGACCTGGAGTCGGTAAATATCTGAGGACGCGAAGGATCCTTCATCGCTAGAGCAATTGCTACCTTCTCTGCTACGGAGCCAGACACCTTCTTCGTGGAAGCCGATTTGAGTGCGCGACCGCAATGATCAACCACCACGGCCGCAAAGCTATCGAAAGGGCCACACGGCACTGATTCAAAAATTATCCAGTTAGGTTGTTTCGTTCATCCCCTCTATGTCCCTTGATTCTCCATGTTGTAAGGCATCGTGAATGTTTGCAAGAGCAATGATAAATTTCTTAGTCTTTTTCTCGAACTCCATTTATGCCGGCCTGTTATTGTGTGGTTAATTTTGCTCTTGATGGCTATCCTCGTCCTCACTAGCCTACACTTTACTTTGCCCACCAGTTTCATGTCCTGAACTATGCCTAATTTCTCACACATTCTGAAGTCGATGCCATTTTGTACCGCGACAGCGTTCGAGACCTCGTTTCGCTGAAATTCCGGTGCAGGCGTCGGCGTCGTTAGTTGTGAGCAAAAACTTAAGAAAGACCCAAATAAATAAATGAATAAATATTTTCGGCTCGGCTCGAGTGGGAATTGAATCCATATCTTGCACGTGCCGAGAAAGTGTTCTACCCCAGGGCAAAGCCGATAATGCTTGAAAACTATCGCAAAAAACAAAACAAACAACAAACCTTATTTGAATGTAATGTGGAGTGAGGAGTCTGTTAATTACACGCAATATTGCGTGTTGGAAGCGAACAATCGCCCCAGCATCGAAACGTGTCAATCGCGAAACGAGTTGGCGATTTAAAGGCACACCCATTAAAAAAGCACCCAAGAATGATTTGTCGTCATCAGCAACAGCAACAGTACCAGCAAGGCGTGCAGCTGCGAAGTTGTGTGTGTTTGGATAAGGGCGTCTATACTAGTACTTCGCCAATTGGCAAAAAGAAGATGTATGGCGTTTTTGGCGTTTAACAGTTGCCATTCTAGAATAGTTTGAAACAGCCAACGTTACGCGTAAGCATGCTCCTTTGGCGAAGCCAGGCCAACGTTTGCGAAGGTGACACGAGCTGGACCAGATGACACTATCGCGTTGTACTCTTAAAGTCGAAGCATAAGCTTTCTCAGTTTTTTCGTGTATCTCCGTTGAGGCTACAACCACGTCCGCTTCCTAGTTCCTTGCATCCGAAAGAACCTTGCCAGACGTTTAATAAATGGTACCCATCCATTTGAAAGAAGGTGTTCGTCATACGCACTTGATTTTTTTCCCGAATTCTGCTAGCCTTCCTCATCTACTGTTCTTAAAGACGATGCCGTAATCCCCAATTACTTGTTCACAGTTTTACTTTCTACACACTTTCTCAGTGAAGTTGCCCATAACTATGGTGTACTTGGTGCGAAACTATAATTTCACATCCCCGTAGAAGGGTTACACTTTCTTCCAATCATAGATGGACAATTGGGGCATACCCTTCTACTACTTTCTGTTTACATCTCTTTAGTTTTATCATACTGCATGATACACTTTCATCAATGCAGTAGAATGTCGCAACGTTGTCTTCAATACTATGTTTTTGTGGATTAGGAACCCTATCCTTTACTTTATAGTTTAGGCCAAAGAATTGGCTCGTTGTCCCTTCAAGGAGTCCCACGAAATTGTCTACAGCCTTCTGTCTGAGAATATTTAACTGAATATGGCAGTTCAAGCTGAAGCTCCCCCAATTATCAGAAATGCCATACATAAAGTTCTATACCAAGCTGTTGAAATTTCTACAGACGCCTACTGGTCTATGCCGAAATGATGCCACTCTATACTGTGCCGTTTATGACTAAGAGTGGCTTTCACGAAGTCATTTTAATTTCCTATTGGAATGGCTGACGACCCCTTCTGCGACAACTGCGGTAGCGAGGAGACATTACTGCACATTTTCTGCGACTGTCCTCGCTACAATGCGCAAAGAAAATCACTTGCAGCTGCGCTAGCTCGCATAAATCGCAGACCGATGACGGCGGACACCATTCATGGAATGTAGTTTAGAGAGCCAACGATTTAAGGCTACGAAAGCAGCCCTCAGCTTCTTGAAGGCAATGAACTTGGACCGTTGGTTATAGACTAATAGTTTCAGGATTACTGTGGCGTGCGACTTTGAGTGTGCGTGCTCTCCCCTCTCTCTCTCTCTCTCTCTCTCTCTCTCTCTCTCCATCTTTCAAACTCCCTCATTCCTGTCCCCAGTGTAGGTTAGCATACCAGTCGTTCTAGACTGGTTAACATCCCTGCCTTTCTTTTCCCTCCTGTTCCATTCCATACATTCTATGGGCCGAGTGAGTGCAGCATCTGCAGCCGCGACAATGACCGTCAAAATGGCGAACATCAAAACTGCCTAGAGCACTGCTACGACTCTGGCGGATGTCACTAAACCGTTCCCCTTTGCAGCAGTAGAATTTCATTGGTCTACCAACTGTAGGAGGATTCCACTAGTACCACCCTTTCAGGACAGTACCAACCAACTAGTTCTGAAGGCCACAGTGCACCTTATAGAGGAGCAGTGGGTACGTCGTCAATTTGCAAAATGAACAATTATGGCGCAGTGGGAACTTAGTGACGTGTACATTCAGTGGGCATTCTAAAGTACATTGAAACGGCGAGCGTTACTCGCACAAACGTTCATTTCTCTGGGGAATGGTCGAAGGCGACGTGCAAGGGAGCCGATTACGCGTTCCTACTTTTGATGACGAAGCTCAAGCGTCAACCAAGTTTTACATTTTTCTATAATCAACCACTTAGAAAACGAAGGCCTACATACTGCCATGTTTCTTGCGGATTGTACGTACGGCATTATTTTTGCAGGGACTCTCCACGAAGAGACACCGCTTCAGTAATCACTGCGTTTTATTTATTAACAAGCAGTGGAAGGGTAGAGCAACTGGTAGATAGGACACCGTAACGCATAGTTCACACTGAAGCATCCACTTTCTACAGCGACCGAAATGGTCCTGCCGCGGAAACGCAGCGTTGTTCGCACTGGACGCGTCCCGCGCCGCCCAATATGCCATCTACCACGGGGCAAACGCGGGATGGATGCGCTGTCACCCGGTTTTTGTCGTGGCTTGCAAACGCCACTAGGCTATCCGGTGGTCTAGTCTTCGATGATTCTTATACGCAGGAAGCAAGAAGAAGCAGTACTACTTACTTTTTCCGGCAAGTATCTGTCTTGTAATGCATAAAGAGCAGAGCCAACCACCAACGCCAGCGGCGTTGGTGGGTTTGTCTATGCAAGACCGCAACAAGCTCGGTCACGCCAACGACAAGCTCGGTTACTAGCTCTTCCACGAAATAGGGACGTGAAGTATAGCACAGAGTGAGTTTAGATTCCGCTGGCTAAAACATTCAGTTACGTGCACTGCGACATGACAAGTGGGTAGGGCTTGGCCGCCATTTTTCGAAATTTCTTGGGTAGCGTGCCTATATGACCGCAGCAACCGATTCGGCGGCAGACGCCGCAAAAACAGGTCCGAGAGCGATCGGCGCGGCGAGGGCCCTTCCGGCGGATCTCGCCGCCGCCAAATCGGATTCGGCGCACTTTCGGTGGCCAGAATGCTCCGTGTGAACGCACCCTGTACAGCTTTTCCCGGCCGCCCCTGTATGCAAATACGTAAGGTATGTCGCACTCTGACTTTGTTCTGCTGTCATGCAGGCCTTCCAGAGGCCATTCACCAGAGTAAGGTATCTGAAAAGTATTTCTTGGAAAAGGCGAAGCTTGTTGGTGTAATGAGCACTGATGATCTAAAAACAGCGTATGCTGATTGAGAAATAGGAAATATTCATGATACTATTTTGTCAATGCACACCATTGGAGACGTACTGAGTATTTGTGCTATAGTAGCGATGTACACAATAAGTGAGAGACTATCCTTTAGTTGCTATTTGACAATGTCCACAGTGTAAATGTATATACTTTGGGTTTCAATACAAACACGTGTCTTCAGCATTTATTTCATCTTCAATAAAGCTTACAGCCATAAATTACAAAATAAAAAACAGTCATAGAAGCCATAAAACATGATAAAAATGAAACATTTGGACAAAAATAAAACATTGTACTTCCTGTAGAATCTCATTGGCTTTCTGCACACGAATAAAATTTGGTCAAGCTCTGAGGAACTGTTCAATTTCGCGGCCCGAGCACAATCACAGGAAACAAAGTTATTCGCACGTGGTAAGTGGTAAGTAGGCAAAGGTGAGCAAACAGCAAGAGTTATGACGCATGCAACATGACACATGTAGTACTTAAGGACAGTGTTACACATCGAGTGATTCACAGTTAAAGAAGAAGTGGCAAGAGGAGGACAAACACTGTTGGGGCACAGTTGGGTGTTTGAGAAGATTGAGAAGGGCGCCTGTGTTCTCTCAGGGGCCCTGTGGGGCGTAGGAGGGGTCGGCGGCCGCTCAGTTATCGGTGGAAGGCGAGTCTTCTGCGGTGGCGGTTGCCGTGTCCGAAGGCGGCGGTGAGATCGAAACGTCTTCCTCGCAGGCGAGCAGGACAGATGCTTCGTCGCCTTGGGTTGCTGGCCGTTGGCCGCTCATGTGTGTCATGCGGCTAAGCGCCTTCAGTGCGTTGCCGCTCTTCTGCAAAAGGCAAGGTTGTATTCGAGTCAACAGAGATTGGGGCTTTTAAGAATGTACAGTTATTAACTCCATAGCAAAGAAAAGCTGATTTGCATTTGAAGGTGTTTTGGGAACCTGCTTGGCATAGGCATGTACATGGAAAGTGGGTGGGGGCTGCAGGAGCGGCGTCCGCCACTTTAATTACCCAAGAGGAGGGCGCAAAGCCTTCCTTATAACTTTAAAGTAACTAGTCAGGGTAATGGCCATGAATGTTTTTGACCATAGTGGCGGCCGAAGGCCTCTGATGTTGCACTCGGAGAACAGTTTAATTCTAGTCTCTACTACCGGAATGCCAGGGACCGAAGACAGGCCATTGTGAGAAGCCCACCATGGCTTCATTTTGAATTTTTTTCATACATTTTGAAGCATGTGGTCATTTGGACACGAACAACGAGGGACAAGAGTGCTACAATAAATCTACGACCTCCCCCCTCCCCTTCCCCAGACTCACCGAGGAACCCTGAGCGCGCCTATTCTGCTTGCATTACAACACGTTCGAGCATACCGACTGCAACGACACCACAAAGGAGGACGAAGTGCTCTCGGGAGAATGAATTGATCACAGAGTTGGGCAAAAAAGGAAGGCCTCGACTTAATCTCCTCTCTAGGACACGTATTTATTCTGCCTTTGCTGATAGCAACCGCGAGATCTACATGCAAACAGGTTGAACTGCGGCGCAATGAGCGTGATTATTTCGACAGCGTAATGGTATTACCACAATTGACAGTCGGGCGACAAATGCTGTACAGAGTTCAAGCTCCGCGTTTTAGCATGTCATTCAAGCGATGGCATTGCGGCTGGTAGCTGCGGTGCTCCCGTTTTTCGTAATAATGCAGGGCACTGAATGTTGGCTACGCCTCGACACAGCGTAAAGAGTACCAGGTTTCACGAGAACACGTATGGGCAAGGACGGCTCTCAAGGAAGCGGGAAAAAATGCGTCGACGTACTACAATCGTTTGCTTCGTGTAACAAGGCTCGTGGATATCGCACCAACCTGTTACGCACGCCACCTGTGCCGAACACAAGGCTTCAGTATTGCTTGGCAATACTTCCCCTTCCTCGCTCTATCTATTTACTTTTTAATCTTATCATTTTAATCCCTCCTTACCCCCATTTCTCGTGGGCTTCTGCTGAGCAGACAGTTACGGTGCTCACTTTTCTCTTCTTTTCTCTTTGAGAATCACATAAGAAGACCTGTTTTGCCATGCAAGTAGACACATGTAAGGCATGTGCTTACAGTAGTATTTGCGCCAAGTTTCAGAAACAGCATTTGCCGTCATCTTCAGAGTAGGGTATCATTCACTACGTGGTATATACTGAAAAGCGAAATGATAGAAACACTCGATGAAAGGCAAAATGACCGCACCAGCCACTTCCTGCGGACGACGAACTTCTTGAGCTTGTCCGTGGGCAGCGGTAATGAGCTGGCGCCGCGCCTGGGCACCACACACAGCCACTCGTGTTCCAAGCACTGTTCCGCAGACATCCGTTTCCTGGTAAGAATGACAACCAAACACAGAAGTCGCAAACGTAACTGGGTGCCTTTGAAAGCGAATCACATGGTGCACATAATCTATTATCACTTGCCTAACCAAATTATGCGTACACGTCATTTCAATTCGCCTGTAGATACGCTTTAAACCAGTGACACTAGCTCGCACTCTCTTTCACTTTGAGAAAAGAATGCGTGCTATATATTCAGTCGTGACATAAGCAAAGAGCAGGCATTCATTGGCAAATGGCTGAAGAATACAATAGACAGGTTAAATGAGCTTGTTCCCAGTTTTCTTTTTTTACTTTACCATAAATCGCAATATACACTTTAAAACGTTTTTCCGGAGGAACTGCGCAGTTACCTCGAAAAGGGTTCTTAGCTCCTCCAAAATACAAAATGTGCACAAAAGATTGCACACGGCACGACAAGGTGGGGCACTTTCCTGTTTGTAGAATAAAGGGCCCATTCTTGGAGTATGTGCAGGAATGTTCGTGCCGTGTGCAAACGACCAGTCGGTGCCTACACAATTCTGTTTCCTTTCAGGCGGTGCCGTAGAGTGGTGTGGTGTAATGGTTAGTGTACGCGCATACTGACTGAGTGGTCGTGAGTTCGAATCCCACGTGTTTGCTGCAAACTTTCCGAAATTTATTAATGTGATGCTTGCACATCGGTTGTACAGCTAATCAAATGCCTGCACGCACTTCGAAAGGCCGCCACGAAACCCGATTTCTCTTTACCGCGAAATGACTGTTGCTCCTTTGAGTAACCACGAGAGTGCGGTTACTACCTTGTAGTTCCTCACAAAAATGGCGAATCAGGTGTGACAAGTTAGTTACTCTTCTAAAGAAGCAACCTCAACACCCCTCTTCCTCCTCTATTTCTTTGAGAGTCCATCACAAACGAAAACCTACAAAAACGCATACAAGATAGTCGATGTTCCATTCATATAACAGAATGCTAGACGCGACGAATATTGTCGATACAGCGTGTTTCTATAGAGCGGCGAGTCAACTATTGAACTCGTATTGACAGTACGGTGGAAGGGTTCGTATAGGCAATACGTACCACCGAATCGCGAGAGACACTATATTTGCGAAGAGAGCTGGTCAATTATGAACGGCTCTTAAGGACAAACAAATCTTTTAAATTTGGTTCCTGGAAGCAAACTTCATTGGGTGCTATACGTACACAAAGCTGTGGCCCCTAGTGTTGCATGCCGGTTACTTAGAAGTGCGGAGCGAAAGCGCGTATAAGACTGCCTATTTTGGTACATTCTCGCCCCGAAAAACGATGTACCAGAAAATTTCCCGTTTAACTCCAAATTGCACCGTCTAATCAGCGTGAACTTACCAGGAATAAAGCTCCGTGAAACCGGAGTGAAAGAATTGCTTCACACAACTGATTTGAATTGTCCACAACGGGCGCTGCTCGAGGTGCAAAATGGCAGCTTGTTCGTTGAAGTTTTCTCAGCTACAGAGCAACTAAAGCAAACAATTTCAGCGAAATTCTATTTTACTCGGACGCCTACCTTCTAGAATACCGCGCATAATTATTTTGAAAGCAATGTTGTTTAAATTTTTATGAACGCAAACTGACCTAAAGTAATAGGGTTGTTTTGTCTAGGCGACCATTCATATACTTTCAATAGCGAAACGAATGCGATAGAAGGGTTATGTGATATACAAAATGCCTACAGTGAATCTGAGCTGAACACTGTTTCCTTTTACGGCAGGGCATTACTCTAACTCAAATTGCTGTCCTACAACTTAAGTACGCTGTTGCGCCAAAAATGAATGCACGCGTTTGGACACGCTCAGAGAACACATACCTGGGGTTCTTCACGATGAGTTGGCACATGAAGTCCTTGGCTACAGAAGAGATGGTCTCGAAGACTGGGTCATCGAAGTCGAAGTCCACCCTGACGATGTTGTTGAAGGTGTCCGTGTCCGAGTCGCCCATGAACGGCGACAACCCGGATAGTCTGCAGTACAAGGTAAGGGTTCTCACGCGACAGCCGAGGTGGGCGGCGCGCGCGCGTCACGCGCCACAATATCTCGCTAATGATGTCGGCGCTGAGCAGATGGGATCGGAACGACACCACGGCGATTTAGGAAGCAACTTTACGACGAACGGAGTGAAGGTGGGCGGCGGCATGCCAGACGGGACGACACTTCTGGAGCGCGGCTGCGGTTTTACGACGCTACAAAATGAACGCTGGCGCAAAAGGCTGCCCGAAGCATCCCGATAGCTGCTCACAGAATTTCGAGGCCGAGAAATCAAAAGCAGTATAAACGAATAAAATAAATAAATAAATAAATAAATAAATAAATAAATAAATAAATAAATAAATATTTGTGATGCTATGATGAATGGGCGACGTGGCCTGGCTCATACGCCATGTTTATTCCATTCTGCTTCTGCTTCTTCTACCTCTAGTAACCATCACTTCATACGTCCCATAAATAATCTCGTTTGAAGGCTACAAGTCACCATTTCGCAATACAAATTTCAAAACGAAGATGCAGAGTACGTATGTCAGTTCTCAGTTGCATTCTCGGGCCATGACGAACTTAAGCTTTATGATTGTTTTTCGTAACCCGCAAGTGACGCACTGACATGATGTTGTCAAACAAAGTATGCCCGAGGTGTGCCATTAGCGTGCTCTTTATTTTCGTACGTCTAACTTAATCTGAGTGCATTTTATTTATTATTCTCTTTCAGGAACTTTGTACGGAGAGGATAACTTCGTAACACTCATGACGATATATAAAATGTTTTCTAAACGTTAAAGGCTACTCTCACAGCTCCATTATTCACTATACTTTCCCTACGAATCGATAAACAACGCAATAAAAGCTTCATGTATTGCCCGTGTATGACATTGAAAGGTGTGCTTTATTAAAGGTTGAAAGTTGTCGCGCGATCGAGCTGAACTGCGAGCTGCGCGGTGAGTGCTACTATTACGGCATAACTGCAGCAAATGAAGATATTTCTTCTACTGACTCATGTTTACTAATGAAACCACTTACGTGAGTCAAGAGCAAAAATCACACATTCCTTCCGGCCAATCATTACTAGACATTTCATAACTCTGCTTTCAGGACAATCCGGTGTTGGCATACAGGACATACATCAGTAAAAAAGGCGAGCACCATACTGAAATCTCTCGAACAATGCAGACAAACGGCGCAACACTGAAAATAATAACCGCGATTGGGTGTCATGGTCAAGGTAAACGAGCAAAATTGATATCAGCAACAGGTGGTGCTCGGGAAAACGGCCAAAGACCTGGGAAGAGGTCGCACTCTATAAGGACGCCACCGATAATATTGGCTGTTTTTCAAATCACACTAACGTACCAAACATGGGTGGGAAGAAGACATATTGAAACTTTATTAGACTGAATTTCGCCAACTAGCGTAATGCAACTCCTATATAAATTTCCAGAAATTTCCGCCCCGCTACGGTGGTCTAGTGGCTATGGTACTCGGCTGCTGACCTGCAGGTCGCGGGTTCGAATCCCGGCTGCAGCGGCTGCATTTCCGATGGAGGCGGAAATGTTGTAGGTCTGTGTACTCAGATTTGGGTGCACGTTAAAAAACCCCAGGTGGTCGAAATTTCCGGAGCCCTCTACTACGGCGTCCCTCATAATCATATGGTGGTTTTGGCACGTTAAACCCCACATATCAATCAATCAAATTCCAGAAATTTCCAGCCTTGTCTGAATTGCACATTCATTATAACAAGGCCATCTAGCCAGCATTCAGTAACGTTACTCTGTGCTAAAAGACAGAATTCGATAGTGCTTGACCCACTGCGATGAACTTACTATAGTCGCAAGTCAGGTGTAAACAGAATAAGTACGTGTATGAGCGTAGCATAATACACGGGAAAAAGTTTCGGCACTTGTACACTTGTGTAATAAAATTTACAGGGGCTATAAATAGCCAAATACTAGGAGAGCACTGCAAAACTGGTATACACTCAGAACTGGATGCGAATGCTTTATTGACTACGCCTTCCTTTCGTTTATAACATTAGTCGGCGAACTCGCTCGTGAGTCGACTCGCATAGACTCAGTCCGGGTGAGTAATATTTTGGTGGGTTTGAATCCGAGTGAGTCCGGTTGAAGAAAATTTTAGTGTGTGCGAGTCTGAATCCGAGTGAGTCCAAAGCGCAAGCTATATTTCTTGAGTGAGTGTCAGTGAGTTCCACTTACGTTTGGTGACTTATGGCCATATCTACTCATCTTCAAGCATTATTATCCGTCTTGCTGGATTCACGTTTATATACACACCTGCTCGCATGTATTCAAAACAGTGTCATTTATACACCGTTTCAATATTTATTAACTAGAGGGGTGAGTTACGTAGCGGCCTTGAATTTTTCCCACCAACTCTTCTAAGAAAGTTCTTGATTATTATATCATATGCTGTCATCTATTCCAAGAAAAAATACCTTACCACTTTGGAAAAACTAAGAACTCGTTTTGGAAGAAGTTATGCCAAACGGCACTAAAAAGAGCCCCGATTACGTGAGATATAGGTGAGATATAGGAGCAATGACACCATGGTCGAAGAAGCTGATTCTAGACTGACGGACTCGTGAGTCAACTCGCTAGGAATCACTTAGACTTAGATCAAGCTGTGAGTACGAGTCTGCGTGAGACAGAGTGAGTTATGTTTTGGTGAGTTTGAGTCCGACTGAAGAAAACGTTCGTGAGTGAGTGAGTACGGCGAAAGAAAATGTTCGTGAGTCTGAGTTCGAGTGAATCCTAAGCTTAAAAATATATTTCGTAAGTGTGTCTTCGTGAGCTCCACAAGTTTTGCAGACCTATGCTCTATAATATATAAGACAAACCTGCTTATATATAACTCACAAAAAAAAGAAAGACAAGAATTTCTTCGATATATTGTATAATTCGATATACAACTTTTAGCTTTTGGAGCGCGAGTTGAATTTTCCGCACTGCATTTCAATATTGCAAAGAAGGTGCCTTAGTGACAATACGCGCTTTTTTTTTCTAGTTTAGTTTAGGATGCGGAATATACGCAATGAAGGGTTTTAGACCATAAAATAAGGCCTCGCAATAAATACGGCATTTTTTACGAGGCAGCTTTTTAGCCGGCGCTGCAAGCACATAGCGTGGAGCATGCGGTCTCCGATGGTGTATGGTTTTTTCGCCAAGCGAATGGCAACCACGCACGACGACGACGACGAGATGGACTCACGAGAGGAAAAGCATGTGATGGCGAGCGGCCATTTCTGTCCACTCCATGCCAGCGCCTTCCTAGTCTCGCTCCTCCCTCCCCTAAGCGCACGCAGGAAAGACCCCTTTCGCGAGATAAAGCCAAACAAGGAAAAGCAGACTTCTTTGGGTGTTCCGCGCTGCTCGATGTTTCATACTTGAAGCCTTCCAGCTATTTTCGTTCGATGTAGACACAAGTTTTCCTATAAGTGAACGTTAAATCATTGTCACAGTCGAAAGTAGTTTCATGTAATGAATAAATAAATTTACTCGTGTTCGATATGCTCGGGTGTGACTGTGCAACCATACGAAAACAGCCCATGGAATGAGGAGCCAGCATTAGACGGCTAATTAGTTCGAATTGAGATGAGAGCAGTATGGCACAAAAGTATCAACAGTATTCGCAACCTCTGGGGAGTCTTTTGTCACCCCACAGAAACAACCAACACTCGGCTCTCTTGAGTTTACTTGCTTGGAAACTCAGCGGTCACCATGAATAATGATACGCCCCGCTGTCAGCACATACACCATTCGTGACCTGTAAACACTGGGCGCCAGGCGGGGAACAAGAGGCAATACGCGCAGCGTAGATGACTATATACTGACAGATGAAAATGCTCCTCTAAAGGTGCAACTACTGTTAGAGTGTGCGTCCAACGTTGTGTAATAAGCATAACGTGCACAGTGACCTCTAGCGTAGCCTTTGCAGCCGCGAATTTTTTTTTTGTCCAATGATCGCAAAAAAAATAGTGACATCTGCCGACTTACAGTGCAGTGACGCACCATTGCTACATGAATGTTGTCGCAACGTAAAAAGAGCAGGACACAAGGCTTCGTTTCGACGAGAATAGCAAGCCTGTATTCGCACACAAGAACACAACGCAAGAGCCGACATCTAACGTCGTCTTCCTGGAAAATGCCAGGAACTGCCACTCGTGGTGCTCGCTTCGCTCTCCTTTGTTGTGCTGACGGCCAATAATATTCACAATATGAAAGACGATGGTGCGTTCAAGCCGCGACAGTTATTCATCGTTGAACATGCAACAGAATAGAAAGTTGGGCGAGTTGGTGTATATTTATATTAAAAGAAAAGCAGCGCTGTGTGTGGTTCTCTTCTTTGTCTTCGTCTTTTTGCGCGCCGCTTTTTTTTTTAAGTTGAACATGCAATTTAATAGTGATAGTGCAAGTTCTGCTCCGAATGCCAGTACTACAAAGCAGAAGAAGCGTAAAGTTTGCTGAACACACTCGCAAGTTGCACACTTATGTGATGCACCGCAGACAATATAGTAGCAGGACGCGAACCTGGTAGATTCGTGTAAGTGAGGTACCAAGACGGGCTAGTTGGTTAACATTCAGCTTCGGTGACACAGAGTAACAGCCATGTCGCGTGTTCATACAGCACAGCTCTACAAAGCTCTCGGCACCGCAGGCAGCACTAGAAGGAACGTCACTGCGAAGTGCCCCGTTAATGGTATCATATAAACAGTGCTCACATCATGGATGTAATGACGACGGAATGAGGTGGAGAAGCCGACCGTGCCTCGCTAAACCCCTCTCATCCCAACCTCGTTTCCAATTTCATGTCCAGGTAAAATATCCCGCCTGGGAAAAACCAATTACATGCCCCATTTCTTCTTCAGATACGATAGGACTCAGCGACAACTGCATTAATTGGCCCAGTTGACCTAGTTCGCTCTTGCCAGCTCATCCACCCTGCAATTCATGTTATTCTTTGCTTCTCTTCTATGCAATAGTAGCATGCCTAGTCGACTTTCTGGAGCAACATGAGCCAAATTGGCAAACGTCGTAATCCGCACACGCACACACCGACGTGTGGAGTGTGTCCATATCAATTTGCACTCGCCTTGGCGTGCTATAGATAGGCATGCACTTAAGCTGGCTTAAAGGGTTACCGAAGTATGGATTTGTTTTTTTGTGTGTGTTTACGTATATTGGACAGCCCCGACGACCTTTCGTTTTAATTAAACACAATGAATCACGCTGGCGAAGATTATATAAGGCGTCTCAAGTAACTTGTGCGAAGATTTCAAAGTGTATCAGTACCATGTAGCTGCGACAAAAAGAAGGCCGTGGTGTCTACCGTCGCTTGGAGCAAGTCGTAATTTCGTAGCTCACATAATTAAATAGTTATGAATATTATTAGTAAGTTTCACAAGCATTACGCTCGGAACAAATGTGTAATGAAGACACGGCACATGAACCTGTAAAACACCCGATCTCACTTTCTGTCGCTCATCACGTGCTTCGCAAACGTTCTTGCCGAACCTGAAAGGAATTCAAGAAAAAGAAAACACGCCGGTAGATATACCCTCACGCAGCTTCTATAACTCCCAAAAAAGGTGCATTGCTAGAAGGCTTAGGTTATTTGCCAGAGGCTTTAACCACTAAGTTGTATCTCTGTCTTCCCAAGCATGTTTGGCACTTCGAAAAAAAGCCTGTTCCTCATATATGACTGTATACGCACGAACCTTTTTTTCTTTACTAACTGTTCCGACTGTCAGACAATGTGAATTCTAGCGTGAACTTGGCCTGTAAAACGGTAACATATATTTCTTTAATGCCTACTTCCTGATGCTGCATATATTGACACTTTTCCATCAAGCTCTGCAATATAAAACGCACCGCGGGAATAGTTCTTAAATATCTTTCTTTTATCAGGGAACAATTCGTGAGCGAAGTGTCTACATCCTCCTCTTTGGGGAGGAAATTGAACTGCGTCGTACTGAGGAAAAACACTCACAGGACGTAGCAGATGACGCCGATGCTCCACATGTCTGTGGCAGGGCTGACCGGCTCGTAGCTGACGACCTCGGGGGCCACAAACTCTGGCGTTCCAAACATCACGCGAAGGCCAGAGTTCGGCTCGTACAGCTGGGCCAGGCCGAAGTCGATCAGCTTGATCTGCGCAGACGTCACGGCTCTCTGCCTCAAACGCCAGCACCACTCGGGCGCTCTCGGTTACCACTAAGAGGCAATCAATATCAAGACTACCGCTAGAACATTGTATTTGTGTACCCTACAACACATTTATGAAACGGAGAGCCCAGTGAACAAAATAAAAATTTAACAACGAACTCTGCAAGTCAGTGTTGCTGCACAATTTTTTGAATCTCCGCCGAAAAAAATGAAAATTTTCTCTTGCTACCTCAAACCAGGATGCATGTTTCCGGGGAATATGTATAAGTAAGACACTACATGTTACATATACATTGCATTAACTCGCTCAAGTGCCTGCGTATACACGTACTCACACACGGCGAACTACCACTAGAAAATACAAACAACTAGTTTATGGCTAACAAAAACAGTGCTTTAAAACAGAAGGACCGAGAGTGGACACGACGGAAGTGCTGCTTTTTCTTCATCTGAGACCTCCAGTGAAATAGCAGGTTTGCACGCGAAATACTCAGGGCAAAATACTCAGGTTGAGCAGTCATTGTCAGAGTTGTGGGGAACTGCTGTAGTGAAAGGTGCGAGCCTATTCGTGCGCTAAAGAAGGTGAAGCTGTGAGAGACACGCCTATGATTTTTATGGCATCAGAATTCTATAGCATTAGCCTTGCGCTAATGCTATAGAATTCTACCCACGTGTGGCCTAGCGTACGTCTTGGCTTCGCGTTAACTTGCTCTTTAGGACTGCCGAAAATGCTCTGAAACGCCTGGCCTTCTCACCACTGAAAACTTTTTCGCTGTTTATAAACATAAGTCCCGGACGGCTTCCGGTTTTGTGCGCTGGCGTAGCATTGGCGGGGAACAAAAGACTTAGCGAGTAGTGCGCCTATTTTCAACACTTCTCTTTCTGTAACTGGTTAACTATTTCAAATATGTTTTGTACCAAGCGACACCCAACATTAGAAGAAAAAGTAATTCACTTTAGACGCCTTCCCTTTGCCTGAAGGCAGAAAGAGTTTTTACTTTAGAATAAGTAAAAACTGTATCGTAACAAGTAACAAACATCAAGCTTTCTGCTTCGATCCCTAAGAGCGAATTTTGAAGTGACCGGGAGTTTCTTGGGAACCAACACGTACTGGTGATATTGCATTTTTAAAACCTAACGAAAAGGCAAATGGGCAATTCATTGCCTGGATGGCGAGTGTACAGCGCACCTCTCTTTAACCTGAAATTGTTTCGCCAGATAATCCAACTGACCCATGAAAACTGATGAAGCCTAGGAAAAAAAAAAGCAGGACCAGGCTGTGTCAGTGAACCATCGGTAGCCCTTTGTAATAAAGAAGTCTATTATTGAGATCATGATAACGCGTGATTATCGAGCAGCACACTGTAGGATCAATCGCCATTCTTGCAGGCTGTGTTGGTTGCGTGAATTGCAGCACATCGAAGTTTTTAAAGGTGCGTATATCTTTACAATAATAGCCACCGCGGCTGTTCTAAAAAAATGGATGAAAAATGCATTAGCGTATCAAAAAAAAAAGAAAAAAAAACACGTAATATCTTCTGTCTGGGACAAGGCGCACAGTAAATGTGTAAGTGTAGTCATGCGCAAAAAATGCTAACCATTAAATGCGAGCAAGCAGACGATGTAGCTTAAACGCATAAAAGGTCGTGAAATATTATTAAGTCCTCAACTTTCAGACAGTTTGCAGCACCTCAAAATACAGGGAAGCTTACAGTAACTAAAGGCAGCCTTTTCCCAAAATTTGTTTGAACTTACACAGTTATTTTTTCAAACATTTCAATTCAATAATAACAATTCATGTGCGCACATTTCTTTATAAAGCCGCCGTACTTGTTTTGAAAAACATTATATAAACTAGCACTTGTTAAGCTTTACTGAACCACAATATAACCGAATAATAGGAAAGCTTTAGGGCGTTCTTTTCGAAAGAGCATCGTGTCTTACTTTCACTTCTGACAACAATTGGTTCGCTTGAGAGACCAGATGATTCTTCAAAAATCTATGCGAGCCCCCTGGGCCAAAAAACGTTTTTTTTTACCCATGCATGACCACAGGAAAGACTAGGTGGTTAAAAAAAATAACGGGCTTTAGTTGTAAGGCTGACGTATTTAGCTTTCAAAATAACTGAAAGCCCTGGCCAATGGTTATTTTACCAGTGCCAGCTATTCTTCGCTGTGTAGCGAACCCTTGGAGCTGTGTAATGGGTCACTCTCTCCAGCGCCTTCTAGCGGGTCGTCGACTTCGACTTCTTTCTGACAGAACGCCGCTCGAGCTGATAGTCTGTGCTCTGTCGACATTACACATTTTCGCCGAGTGCCGATCGCGGACTGATTTAGTAACTCTTCCATCTTTTTTTAAATTCCAGAAGAGTATCCCAATTTCTAAGAAGCCTATTTCTGCATTGACATTCATCGACTATTCTTCACCCGTTGACATAGCTTCAGCTTTATGTACGTTTATAATGAGACAAACGTTTTCAGTTTTTTTCTTTTACTTCCACAATGTGCATTTTGTAAATCTCCTATAATATCCTTCCTACCAAATAGCCGCATACCGTAAATTGGTTACTTTTGTGCCTAATTTCTGCACTCTTATATTTGACTTTGCCTAACTGTGTTCGAAATCAGTTTCCCAGCACCCGCCAAAATGGTATAGTGATTATGGTGCTCGAGAACGGAACCGCGGGATCGTATGCCGGCAGCGGCAGCTGAATTTTCGGTAGATGCGAAAATGCTGTAGGCCTATGTGCTCAGATTCGGGTGCACATTAAAGAACCTCGTATGGTCGTCATTTCAGAGCCCTTCACTACAATGTCTGTGATAATCGTGTGGTTGTTTCGGTACGTCAAACGCAAGCAATAATTATTATTAGTTACATAGCACATACTTTACGTATATAATTAGTGTCAGAAAGCTGAAGAATGAACAAGACCTTTCTTGAAATCTTCTCTAAACTTTGACCCAGTGAGCACTACGAACATAATCTTTAACGACAGTTTCTTGTCACGTGTAAGAGTTCTTGTTCTTTGCAAAAAGATCGATGTATTCCCGCAAAAAATCAGTAATACCTCTAGGTGAACTGGTGTGCGACAAAGACAACGACACCGAAAATATGGGATGGGGAGATGCGCAAGCTTTCAACTTAATTTTATCATTCGTCACCCACCAAATATATACTCACGTAAAAACATAGTCACGTGGTCACATGGTCAAAAACAAACAGCTTACAAGAAGTCGAGCAAAAAATTAAGCTTGCTCTCAAATAAAAATATTGACGTGTCACTAACACAAGCAGTGCCTTTTGCAGAAACATAAAATAATTCTATCAGTTTGCGAGCTGTCGTATCACCGCTCCTACCCACAATCTTAATGTCTCTGAAATTCAGTGAGCACATGCAAGCGTAGGTTTTAATACGCGGTCCAGAGCGCAGCTTTAATATGTAAAACCATATGAAATACACTATGCCATTCGTAGCTCTGCGAATGTGTGCGTTGTTGCAACCACTTTCACGATCCGTCACACGCATCAAATGTCACGGTATAACGATCCGTTCAATATAGGTTGAACAAAGAATTCATACATAGAAGTGACCCTCCTTGAGTCATTATGGAGAACAACGCAGACCATGTCTTTCCGTGCAGAAATCCAGAAGAGAAACGTGAACATTGTCACTCGAAGTTGGTGGGGAAGACACATATACGTAACACACTTTGTATACGTGTCATACTTCGTAGCTAATGAATCGCTACTATGACTAGATCTTACGACAAATGAGCGTTAGATCACCCGAGCATATATAACTAAATTATGCAGCGCTTTTATCTCGGCAAAAGAGACTTTTCTCTTCTTCCAGAAAAAAAGTTAAAAAAGAGCGCTGATGTTAACTGTCAGATTATAGCAGACTGGTTCGTATCACAGCCCGGCTTCATTGCATAAAATATATCCCGACACTTATCTCAATAGCTGTTGCAGGCACTGCGACGAATTCGCTAGCCTCAAACATACTCTCTGGCACTGACCCTCGTTACGACGCACCAACCAAACCAATGAAGACAACTGGCTTCAACTGTCAAGAGCCCCGGTGTCGGGCTCAACTATTGGCTGTCCAGAGGGCCCCCGATGCGGCAGTAGGGCTTGGCTTGGCTGTCACAACGTAGGAGTGGCCGCGGAGTCGTGCACCTCAGGACTATCAATAAAGTTTTGCATTCATTCGAAAATGTATTCTTAGAACAGGTGGTAACCGCAGAGCCGAAACACGAGGGCGGAATAACTAGAAGAATAAGGATGGGGTGGAGATTTTTTGGCAGGCATTCTCAAATCACGAATGACAGTCGACCACTATGCCTCAAGAGGAAGGTATTTAACAGATGCCTGTTCATCATCATAGTCAGCACCATCATCATTGTCAGTTTGACTACGCCCACCCACTGCAGTGCAAAGGCCTCTCCCATGATCTGCCAATCAACCCGGTCTTGTACTTTCTGCTGCCACGTTACACTTGTGAATCTCAGCGACCCACCTAACTTTCTGCCTGCCCTTGTGCGTGTTACCGGCAACCTATTTACCTACGGAGCATAAACATCAAGGCTTACAAAGGGGGTTAAACTTAAGTTGAGGACAAAGCAGCGAGTGATGGAAAGGAAAATGATAGGTGTAGACTTAACAGACGGGAAGGGAGCAGAGTGGTTCAGGGAATAAACGGGGGTTAAGGATAACATAGTTACGAATCATTAAAAAATGGGCATGGGCCGGGCACATAGCGCGTAGGCAGGATAACCGCTTGTCATTAAGGGTCTCTGACTGAATTCCAAGATACGGCAAACGCGTGAGGGGGAGATAAAAAGTTAGGTGGGCATATGAGATTAAAAAAGTCACAGCTTTGCCGCAAAGGCGAAGCAATTAACACGATAGCAACAAATTGTAAGGTCACGCGCTGAATGGCAAGCAGATCGAAACGTACCCCGCGTTTTTCACGCACAAATAACGCACGAAACGTGTTTACAGGTACAGATGAACGCGAATAAGCGTCTCAACTGTCACTCCGGTGTGTCTGAAAACCGTGCTCTCTTTTTGCGAACGGAGACAGTGCACAATTGCAGTGACCTTTGTGCGCCCGATAACTACAACAGAATCGTTCCGACAAAAGCTTCAGGACGGCCAAGACTTAAGATGCTCCCAACTGCGAGAAAATGGCACGCCAGTGTGCGTTCAGGGGTTTTACGACCACCTAATTCCCCCTCCGCGAGGCAAAGCACGCGTGGGAGATAAGGGTGCGCACCGCTGCGCGCTCACTGCGCCATCTTGCAGTTAATGCTGAAAACACGATAGTTCCCCTCCGAGATGCCCATCACTAGCGGTAAATGATAGATATATATGGCTTGCCGTTTGAGTACACAAGACCGTGGTTCTTCGCAGCTCTGTGGTTAACGCCTCGCATTCACGCCTCGGAGATTCCACGTTTGATGCCGCACGACGGAGTTTTTTTTTTCAGGGCTGTTTTCTTGCGTTTTTACATATATAGATACATCGACATCAAGGCCGACGCCGGCGCCGGCGGCGAAATCTAGCCGAGAGTGTCCACATAATTGCTATCGCCATAAAAGTTTGCAGGTATGACGTGGCAGCAGAAAGCAGAGGACCGAGCTGATTGGCAAAACACGGGAGAGGCCTTTGCCCGGCAGAGGGCGTAGTCCGGCTGATGATGATAATGATGATAATGATTCATCGCGGGCCACAAGTTACGCGTAAATGGGTACTGATTAAAAATATAAATGAATCAGGGAAGCATCGAAATCCGGCTCGGAACACTTCACTCTCCCGACACATCATGCTCATTTCACCTATTTAAAACGGGCTGCTGCACGTTTTAGAGCGTCGTTATAGGCGCACCGTGGCTGCAGCGCGCTCAGACGGCCGTGACGTTATGAGTGCCGCTGGCGGCAGCAACGTCGAGGCGGGCAGTCCAACCAGGGACGGCGCGACGTCACCGGTCGGCCGTGCTGCCACTGTCGTTAACTTTAAAACCATGTGCACGCCGGACGTGCGTCGGTACAGCGGGGATACACGGTTAGCACGCCAGCTTCCGACAAGAACGACGTCGCTCCTAGCATAGCGTTGCGGCAGCTAGACGGGGTAGTTATTGAAGAAGCGCATTATGAAACGAGAAGTTTAGATCCAGATGTCGAACTCCATTTCGAGGCATGACTGTATCATTTAGCGCTAAATAAAATAAGCCAGCGTGGTCCGAAACTTGACGTGGTTAGTTCTGCATAGCATACATTAGGAAGATGAAGCAGTTCGAGACTATATATGCTATCGTTGTTCCTCTGCATAGCTTCCAGCATGTTTTATTTCTCTTTTTGAGCATATTTTCAGACTCAGTTCAGCACACAAGCCTGAAAGCAGGGCTGAATCAATTTGTTTACAGTATGAAAAAAAAAAAAAACTATCGCCAAGCGCTATTTCTCAAGAAGCTATGAGATTGACTGGTGGCGTGCACTCATAAATTATTTTGGATGTAACCTTTTAGCGAGACAACGTCGTCAATATTTGCTCACCCAGACTACCTCGCATATGGTGAACCCTGGTTTGCCCGAATCTACAGGCTGAAAATGCACACAGCTCACATGCGGCATCTCTAAATTGAAAAGATCATTAAATACTAGGCCTGCACCAACGAGAACGGCATACTTGTATAGACACGGAGCCGAAATGAGCTTTTGGTACAGTGTCTAGTCTTTATATTGTTTACATGTACGCGAATTTCGTCGCCCTTTCTTTTTTTTTTCAACTTTCTCTATTGAAACGATCTGTATGCGATGTCCAATAATTCCGTATGTTTCTGTAAGAATCTTACGGAAATATATGGAAAAGATTTAGGAAACATGTATTCTTACGGAAACATACTGAATTATTGGACATCGCATACGGATCGTTTCAATAGGGTTGCGTCATTCTCGTGCCGCATAGCAGCCGGACGTGCGTCTCGTCGAAACTACCCCAAGCTCAAGAGCAAGCGCCGGTATGCGCACCTTGTGTCCAACTTGGCTCTGGCAGAGGATGTTCTCAGGCTTGAGGTCGAGATGGATGACGTGTCTGCTGTGCATGTAGGACATGCCCGCGCAGATGTGCCGCAGGAACAAGACGCAGTCCCATTCCGTGAGCACGAAGTCGTCGGCTATAACCCGCTCGAAAAGCTCTCCACCGGACACGCTGCGAGAAACGGAAGGCCGGAACTGCGAATGCACCCTTACTGCAGCCTTCGTGCGTGCCAAGTATTGCTATACGCTTTGCCTAAATCGTAAACACAAGGAGCACATTTCGAGGGCTCGGTTCAGTTCACACGTATATAGTCAATCATGAATGTTCTCCTGTGCGACCAACACTGCTCAGCATGTCAACTTTTCTGCTAATACGGCTAATCAACGGATGATTTGCAAGTAACAACGCTTACTTAAAAGTCCGGATAAGGGAGACTTTTGATATATAGTACATGCTCCAAGGAGCAGCGCAAAAGGTGACAGAAGAAGGCTCACTTCCTCTCGAAAATTCTTCACATGTTTGGGGAATAACTGTATGCGTTGTTATCTGCTGTCCTGTAGTTTTTTTTTTTCGCTGTAACTTAAAACACTTATTTACATTGGCCATAGATAGACTACGACAAAGTACGCACTTATTAGTGAAACCACCTGCTCTAGCTGTCCAAGCAATGTTATGGCATACGCATGATCCACAGAGGGCAAAGAAGAGAAGGAACAACCGAAGGAAAATGTTTTCACCCATTGACCGGTAGCAGTCAAGAAGATATGAAAACACTGCGAGAGTGTTGAATAGAAAAAAGGTGCAATATTGATCACTCTTTTTTTTGATCACTTTCATTTCATTTTTTTTCATTTTGATCATTTCTTGAATATTGATCACTGTTTTTTCCCAGCTAGTTAAGCTTTAATTAAGGCGTATAGTTCACTCGGCAAGCCTATATTTAAATGCTTTCGATAATTGGATGCGGTATTCTTTGATACGGGATGGAAACACTGTTATACAGCAGGCATGTATTATAGGCAAGTTACAGCAATTTTTGAGAAATATGAGACAAAACTCAATTGTGCTCACCCGTGCCTATACTGTTGTTATCAGAGAGCCTTAAATTGCTTTTTCAGGTGCCCAATTTTCTAAAAAAGGTGTCGCGCAGATAATACGATCATCCGAATGGAGCCGTTCTTCTGTGTGCAGGAATAATACGTGGCGCCTATGTAATGGAACAACACAGCCTAGCGGATGGCGAACTAGCGTCTCGAAATACAGTTGAAATTAAGTTTTCGTTCCTTACAACAGCATCAAGAGAGAGCATCAAGAGAGCGACAAAAAAAAAAAAAAAACTCTTCTCAGTGCGGACCACTTCATTTGCTGCCCTCTCTGAAGCAACAAGTAGAAGCAGCGCATTATGAAGTCAAAAAGTGAAGGAGAACACCCACCCGAGTTTCACTTTAATCAAGTTTTCGAAATGGAGGACTATAGGGTGTAAATGTGAATAGCAGAAACGAAGTCGGGCCTAGCAACATTCCTGAAGTCTTGCTGTAATATCGGGTACAACGACAGCCAAAGTCAATTAGGTTGATTGCTGCCGATTGTGAAATACGCAAAAGGCGTCGAGCATAACTTTAGAGCGACACTTCTTAAAAGAAACTGAGCCGTAGTGATCTGGAGCATTTGCAGTAGCTTGCGAAAGAAATTATGCCATCGTGCCAATAAGAAATTTCGTAAAAAGTTCCCAAAACATTGATTTTGTGACTGACCTTGTTCAGTTGGAACCTATGGAATATGGCAGAAGCTGTAGCCGAAGCCAACAAACTGACTTGCGGATATATTAGATTTCCACTTATGCATAGGCTGAGTTGAGAACGGCGTGTCATCACGAGGAGGAAAATAAATGAGCGAAAAATGAGTAAATTTAACAGATCCATTCATTCATTCATTAAACGACGCTGGAGTCTAGGAATGGCTGGGCTAGGAAGCACAGATTAACCTTGACCGACTGGGGTTTCATAACGAGTGACTATAGGGTTTCTTGTGGGGCCGCTATGACATATAGCTCTATGGTGTTCCGGCCAGGAATCAATTTCGTAATTTCAAGCTCAGTTGCATGAAGCCAGTGAAGAGTCATTGAGCATAACTTATTTTACTTCAAGGGCTTACCACTTCCGCATCTTTGCTAATTTGTCGAATCCTTGTATTTTTTAAATTGTTCTACAGTGAAGCCCCACGTGCAAGTAAGACCTACTGAGAACGCGGCTCTGTAAAATGTACGCGCAAAACGTAAAGTTGGTTTCGGTCAGCATAGGAGCTACTCGACAAAAGAGTTCTGTATGAATAAACTGTAACCCACTAGGAGTCTGACGCGAAAACGATCTGAGGCTGTAACAAGGATGTCGAGGTGGTCAAAAAACATGTGGTGTGGTGCCATGGTCATTTCCAATCTCTTTGCCTTATCCAACATACTCACTATTTTGCCTTAGAACTCAACGCAAGCTGTATTAATGTGAATCAATCTACACACATTAGAAGACGAAAATGGATGGCGTTATTGTTTACCAGTAACTGAGAATGGAGAGTCAGTGCAAGCCAGGATTTGAAGCGAATACACATGCCCTGCAAAAACATGCAAAGTTCCACGCCTGAACCCTCGAAAGGAATTTTGAAATAATCATTCCGCTATAAAGGCAACGTGATCACATAACGCAGTTTGGGAATTCTGATACATCCCAGATAAGATACGCGAACCCAAGGGGGAATTCTGCCTATCGATTTACCGCACAGTTAGTTGTAGGGTCCAGGCTAGTACCTGATTGTCTATTAATGTACACATGTAAGCAAAATTTTTCACCCATCTGGATGGATGTATAAATGTTAAAATTCGTTCAAAACTTCAGCACCATGAGAAGTTGGGGTAGTTAATTTTAGCTAATAACGTGCAAAATGCGGAGAGTTTTGCGTGCACGGGGGCGAACAGGGGTAGTTGATTTTGGCTAATGACATAAAAAGGCGGAGAGTTTTACGTGGGGAAACCTGAAGTTTTCTAAGCATATGTCTACGACAGCACAGCAGCACTTTTGGGTGGAAAGCTGTTCACGCATCCAGCCTTGCACTGCAAGGAGAGTAGTTAAGAGCTTCTTTCAGACAAACAAAAATGTGTTTATAAAGTGATCAAACGTATTGTCAAAAATAAAAAAAAACAACAATAAACAGGACAAGACAACCAGCGAGACAATGAAGGTGTTTTACACTTAGCCGGGAGAGGTCTGGTTGCATAAGCCACCCTTCACTGAATCTACAGGAAGCTGAGGCTGCTTTCCCTAGACGACACATGAAGTGATTTACGGAGTCTAGCTTGGTTTCATAATTTCTCATTCATTTATTATTTTAACAACGAAGCTGATCCGAGTCGAGGCGTTTCTTGTTCGGGGGCACTCGCAGATCGGAAACGGTACAGGCGTCACCACCACTCACGACTGTCGCCACTACGCCCACCGTGTACTGCTCCCGCCATTTCTTCCTAGTTCATGTAACCTCACTTCACCTCGCCAAGTGTTTTCCTGAATAAAACATGTCACTGGCTAGCAAATTGCTGCTGTCAGTTTTCTATTCGCTTGATTGGTTCATGCCTCATCACGTCGTGGGTAAAAGTTCAGAGGCATATTTATAGAAGCTGCAGACTCTGCTAGATGTGGCACCGAACAGAGAACGACTTCTTCATGCTTCAAAGGTTGCGCAGCCAATGTGTATGGGCGCTGCAAAGTTCTGCACCGGATGTTCCAAACGTCGGCCACTAAACCGCGCCAGCTCAAGTGTAAAGTGCATAAAATCATCAAGCAGTTCGAATGCAGCCCTCATAAAATGTGAGAAAGAAGTCATTGAAGTTCACTGCCTTTCGTCTCAGAAAAATCGACTATACTGCGTCGGTCTACATTGCAAATTGTGATACAGACAATGACCAAAGAGTGCGCCGTAGCACGCGGCACAGGGGCGGCGTCAACAAAGCAATCACCGGGCAGCCGCTGCCGCATCTCACGCACGTTCTCACGTGTTGAGCAAGTTCTCGCGTGCACTGAATAGCAAGGAACGCCCTGCCGAAGCAGCCGAGGTAGAAAAAAAAACAAGTGAGTTGCAATGACGCAGATGAAACGCTGAAAACACGTATACCATTGAAAAAAAGTAGTATGAAGTATGTGCGACCCCTTTCGAGTAGTCCTGACGTGCTGCATATGCGACTCTCTTAAAAAGGCAATTCACTAGGTTTGACAGCATTGAGCTGACGAGCGCAATGCGCGCATTGGACGCGCACGATCACGTCTGCCGAAATTTGCAACTCTAGGCGCGCAGAAATGGGTCAAACTTCAAGATGAACGCTGCTTGCCCTCCTCGCCGGCGTGCGTCGAGAGAATGAGGGGATGACGTATATCATGGAATTACATGGTATATCGTGGTATCGTGCTCTGACGTCGTACCTCTAGGTAGACGAATGTGCTCTGACGTCATCAACAGTATTTATTTATTTCTTTCTTCGGTACCTGCATCGGCTTTGCAGGCATGGCAGCAGGGGGGGGGGGGGGGGGGGTGTTTACATCACTAGATCAAATTGTCATTCAGTTCTGCAACACAAAGCGCGGTAAAAATGACCATTACATTGAATATCTGCAATATTTGACGAAAGAGCATTCCACTCACTCGCAGTTCTACAAAACAAATTACGTAAAGTGTCACCTTTGAAGGGAAATTCAAAAACTTTTAAAACGTGGTCCCTTCTACGAGAAATATATGATCGCAATGCGATATATTTGTTTCTGTCAATGCCAGTTTTTGAATAAAAAATTCTGTGGAAAAAATTCGAGCCTCAGTGCTTACCGCCTGTCCTTTGAGCCCTGCCAATGAAGTGCATGCTTACCTTCAGAAACACTGAGGTATTTGTCGTAATTTCCCAAAACAAATCCAACAGCCCTATTCTGAATCATCGCTAGTAAATCGACTAACTGTTGAGCATGGGGATTCCAGCTGGCACATGCGTACTCAAATATATCGAACGTACGTGAATGAAATACAGCCGTTCTTTCAAGTTACTAGGTAATTGTGCAAAATTTCGACGTAGGAAGCATAATTCACGTGCTGCCTTTCTTCGTACGTCAGGACTACCCGAAATGAGTCAAAGGACTCCTTTT